TATTGTTGACACTCCATCATTGTGTACGAGAATTATGAAAACATAATAATGAAAATATACATTAAAGTGTTAGGAAAAAAGTATAAGGAAATGCATCTACAATTGAAGGAAATATGACACGATATAGTACACACCCAAAAGTTAAACCTTTCCTCTCTGTTTTATTTTTTCATAAGAAAGAAATACAATTGATCTCTTATGTTTTCTACATCACGATGCAAATTGCAAAATATGAGGCTTTAGATAGTTAATCCCAAAAATTGATTTTTTTTATTTGCAAACGATAGCGTTAGTGGGTTCAATTATTATGCATGACATAATTGATTTTTATCACTGTGGTAAAGTACCATCTGCAATTTGAAATTCTTTTACAGTTTTCACAAAGTGCAAAAGACACTACTACTATGAATTTATCACACAAATTATACTAGGTGCTCTGATGTATCCACTTTTTTTTTTTCCCTACCCCACCCCTTACCCACCCCAAACCTCGAACCCAAGACCTAGACCCCTTACCCACACCCTCACCACAAATTATACTAGGTGCTCTGATGTATCCATTAAACTAAAACTTTTGACATCATTAACCAAAAATCTAAACACAATACGCCGAAACACTAGTTGCATTTTGACAAATAGTAGAGACCGTAGAGTTATGAACACTATGTACGCTTGCGCTATGAAATGACATGCATACTGACTTTGTTTCTGTCGAAATGTACAACTGAGGCTAACACAGCCGTTCTGACAAATAGCATGCATGCACTCCCCTTTCTTCTCCCAATAAAACGTTCATATCAGTTAATGCCTTCATCGTTACGTCGTACAGAAAAGACACAGGAAAGCTGACCAAATGTGACTCCGTGATATATACATGCATGTGCAGTGAGAGTTACAAATTGCAGAAACAAAATTAAAATTATATTTCAGAATATAAAACAATATACTATTTTTTTCGCTAACTATTTACTATTTTTTCATGCCACGTTTTGGTAAAAGCAGTCATGCATTGCTGAATACTCTTGCATGTTTGGATTGTTTTATTGAACTCATGACACGTCCAAAATCATGCATGTTACCAAAGAAAGATTTTCACTAAATACAAGCACATCCGTTATATGTCATTTTATAAATAGAGAGATACTTGAACAAATTTTTTTTTTCCACTTATATAGTACATATAACGTACCGTCTCATATTCTAAGCATATTGAAAAATGTCTCATTACCAAACAACCTAATAGCACAAAACCAAATTTCAGCTTGGAGCAAAAGATTTTTTTTTACCATGATCAAGGCCTTGATATGAACTCTTGTAAATTTCACGTCCTCAATCTCACCACCCCCTTTTTACACCAAATCAAGCAAAATGTCGAGAAAACCCTTCGCCTCCTCCACTTCCTCCTCCTCGTGGCCACCACTGCATCCTCCATTTCTCATGTTTTTCTTTCTCAAGTCTTCACGTTCTGAAATAACCTTCTCCACTAACGCGCTGTATCTCCTATGAGTGTCTTCAATTCTCTTCCCAAATCCTTGCAAATCAGTCTTCTTGCAAAACCAAACAAAATCTGACAAATTAAACTCCCCAAAAATCCTTGTCACCTCTCTCACCACAACCCTAGCTTCTTCATCCCTGCCTTCATCACTCGGACCTTCAGAACTTCCCAAAATCATCTTTGCAATCACATTGTTGGAAAGCTTTGGTAGCTCCTCGGTGAGATTTACAGCTTCACTACTCTCAGCTTTCTTGGTCAACAGCCTCAAAAGCCTTAGGTACTCTTGTGTTCGAATCGGAGCAAAGTTGCTGACGCTACGGTTGCTTAGAAACCCATTAATGATGAGCTTCTTGATAAATTTCCAATAGGGTCCATAAGGTGCAAAGGCAAGTGAAACATTGTAGGTGAGGAGTTTGGTCGCGATGGACTCTATGTGGGATATGAAGGAGAGCTCGTGGGGTTTCGAGGAACTCCTTCACGATCTCGGGCGAGGATACCACGATGCCTGGGATGGAGCCAAGGCGGATAGAGAATAAGGGGCCGAATCGGAGGGATAGGTTGTAGAAGGATCGGTGGATGAGAGGGCCAATGAGGTGGAAATGGCCGATGATGGGTAGGGCAAAGGGGCTTGGAGTGAGTAGGGTTTGGGATTTGGAGGTGAAGACGGGTCGGAGAACAAGATAAATGATGAAGAGAACAGAGAATAGAAAGAGGAGGTCAAGGACTGGCATGGCTTCTTATGAGAGGAATAATGGTTGATGAGTAGATTTAGAAATTGGAAACTCCAAAACATGGTTCTTATATGTGCATAACGTGATACATCACTGTTCCAAAATTATATTCTGAATAATCGAATTATACAAGAAAGTTGGGTTCACCAGAAAGCCAATTAGCAAAATAGGGGGGAGTGGCCGAACTATAGTCTATACTTATAAGCACATGTAAGGTCTCTCTCTCATCAATATGAGATTTATTCTCAACATGTATCCTCACATGTATTGAATTTTCAAGCATAAAACGTGAACACTCAACTTTGGTGACGTGGAGCACGTATGGTCGTTGGTCTTTAAACGTGGGACAACATACTCTAATATCTTAAAGAAAGCTGAGGTTCCACCATAAACCCAATTGGCCATCTGGGGAATACCTTAACTTGCTTATAAGCCTATGCAAGGTCCATCCTCTCATCAATGTAGGCATCATTATCAACACGCCCATTTACGTGTGGTGAATTTTCAAGCCTAACACGTGCACAACACAATCTGAGTGATGTGGAGCACGTGTGGCCGTTAGGCTTCACATGTGAGATAACCTGCTTTGATACCATGAATGAAGTTGAGGATCAACCATAAAATAAATTGGCTACATAGGGAGTAGCCCAACTCGTGTTGAAAATGAATCTCACATTAATGAGAGAAAAGGTCTTACATATGCTTATAAGTAGTTACGCTACTGAAAATCCTTTGAAAAACCATGCAACCCTTAAGACGTGGTGTTCATCCTAAGTGAAATTACAATTATTAATCACAAGAAGCTAGCGTCAATTTCAGAGAACCTTCCGACCCAAATTGCATCAAATTACTTTTCTAAAAATCCTAATGGTGATCAGGCATTAAGACAATTAGATAGTTTTTATCCTGGTGATTAACAATTCAAAGTATGCATGCAATCAATCATAAGCAATTAAATAAAAATCACATATTCATGTTAAGGCTTAAGGTTTCGCCCTAGCAAAAGAAATTAGTTACGCATATTCATAATTGAAATCATAGAAAATATTACTAAGAAAAGGATTGAAAACACCTTAGAGTAGAAAATCTCCAAAACCCTAGCACTTCTCTCTGTCTCCAAAATTGCATAAAATAAAGCGTAGTGAAAAACTGTAGACGGCCAAGCAATATATCTGCTAAGCCCCCACACAAACTCTAAAAACAGGTCCTTTATTCCCCTAGGAAACTAAAAATAATAATTAAATAAAATAGGAAACATAACCCTAAATTAAATGGTAAAATTTGTCTAAAATCTGAACAGCCACGTTTCAGACCCATAAACTGCTTCAAAACTGGCCCAATATAGCTGGATTTAATGTTTGGAATATTATGAACACTTCTCCAGAAGGACACGAACCCATCCGAGGTCATCTTGGGCTCCAAAAACGCAATTTAAGCCCAAAAACGTCATTTTCCAGCACTGCGCATCGCTCCTTTATTTTATTGCCAGAAAATAACCGCTTGATGGAAAAATCCCATATTTTGATACGATCAAGCTAAGTGACTCACGAACGTCTTACAACTAGAATTACTCCAAAATTCGTCCATTTGGTCATGTTTTTCTCCAGATGAAGTCGAAAGTCCTATATTGAAAATACAATTCAAAGTATCAAAATTCTTCCAAAATATTAACCAAAATATACTAAGATTAGAGTAAAATATATAATATAAAATCTACTCATCAGCTACTCTCCATATCGCCAATTGGTTTTATAATGGAACACCAACTTTCTTCATTGTATCAAAGTAGGTTGTCACATGTGTGAAGCCCAACGACCACTTGTGCTCCATGTCACCCCGTTTATGATTCTTGAGGGAACGTGTTGACATGAATCCCACATTGATGAGAGTAGGGACTTGTCCACATTTATGACAGTAGGGACTCGTCACACATGAGGGAACATGTTGAGATGAATTCCACATTGATGAGAGTAGTGACATTGCATGAATTTATTAGAGGTTGGGCTACACCCTATATTATTAGTTGGTTTTATGATCATCGATCAACTTTCTTTAGTCATTACAAATTATTAGTTTCAATAATTAATAAAACTGTACAAGGTAAGAAATTCCGAATGCAAATTAAGAAGCAAAAATCATTGGCAAGGGGAAATTCATGCCACACCCACGTTGAGGAACGTAATCCCATGTTAGCAAAGTTATCCGCAAATTAGTAAATCATTATTAGGTAAAAGGAGGTCATGAATGAACTAAGTCATCTGAATCAAGACAAGAACACACTACAACAAAAATGGCCACTGCGCACAAAACATTATTTGTGCCCTTTGAGGTCAAAAAGCACCAACATTTGTGCTCATAAACCAATAGCAACAGTGCAGCTACAAAATTTGTATATGTGCCCTCTATGGGCGTCACCATTGGTGATAGCACACAATATGCTGTTTTGTGCCCAAAGGCTAAGCACAAATACAACCATTTTTGTGCCTCACCTCTAATAAAGGCTATTGAATGTATGGTGTAAGATGGGCACAATTGCTATTTTAACGGCTTAGATTGTTGTATAAATGTTAAGGCAAAGGCACCACAACTTTAAAATTGTGCCACTCTATTATATTTTAATAAATACAATAAAGCTCTAGCACAATTGTAAAAGTGTGGCACAATTGGATAATTTTATTTATTTTTTTTTTTGGGGCAAAATTAGATTTTTTTTTTTAAACATAGAAATCATCTAGCTTGCGCACAAGACCTAATTTCCACCAAAGTTGAGGAACTTACAAATTATCCATTACAAACTAAACATAAATCAACATTACATTCATTAACATTAGCACTAAAATAGTGAAGCTAATATATTACACAACCCATGTTCTTGGCTAAGACCGATTCATGCAACCTAACAATACAACCCATCCAAATGTTAAACAAAAAATACATGTTATCCTATGCTGGCTATACCCGGGATTCTCTATTTACAACAAAATATAACATATCCAAGCTTGTATCCCAATTCAAATGTTCTAATGGTTAAACCAGCAATATATAAACAAAATACACATCTACAAGAGATGCTTGATGACAACTAACCAGTATTCTTACTTTGGCAGTCCTCATGCATCATAGCACTACAAATTGGAGGTCCACACTGCACATTCTTGTCATTTCCACCTTAAAAAAACGTTGAAATCTGAGCGTGTGAGCTTCCACACCCTTGCTGTTGAGTTGAAGTACTTTGTAGAGCACCCACTCCAAATGAACCAATGTTGATGCCCACATGTGCCAACATGGCTTTGAATTGCTCAGCCATTTGCACCTTTGCTAACCTCAAATTCTCCTTTTATTCGGCCCTAAGCCTTTGTATGCTTTCTTCTTGCTATTTTTTCGTCTTTTCTGCTTTCTCATTTGCCTCATGCATCATACTAGTCATTTTTTCTTCCGCAGTAGCAGTGGCTTGTTTCTGAGCTTCATAAGCTTCCCGAAGATACTTCACTTCCCTAGAAATACCTCGCTGCTCAGTAATAATTCCTGGTACATTTGCCCAGCCAACTCCAAGGCCAAAGCCCCGCACTTGATTCCGCTTCTCTGGCCCCATCACTTCTGCATAAATCCTATTGCGAACCTCTGTTGTTACCTCTTCACCACGCTCACGAACCTTCACTTCCAGATTTTCAAACGACAACTGTTTGAAAAAGTCTTAATCATTCGTAAATGCATAAAATTTCATTAAAGGTTGCTTGAAATAAATTTGGTCAACTAAAAATGTACCCAATTACCATCATTCTGGCAGATTCGGCATCAATTGGGAGTTGCTTAGGTCCTCTTGTGTGTGTCATTTTGAAAAAGTGACACGATCAGGTTCACTTCCATCATGTTCTTCAGCCTAAGACATAAAAAAAGATCCCAAAAACAACCACAATCATTAAACAATCATAGTTACAATGGCTGAAAATATAGTGCACTATATTTCGATGTAATCTTTCTGCATTGAAATCTGTTTGTACATATTAAGCTTGTCCGTAATGCATTTTGCAGTGGATGCCATATGAGAAATATGCAGCACAACCATTTGTCCAAAAGTACGAGCTTCTAAAGTACATGCATGACATATGCATAGCGAAGATAGATGGCAAGTATTCAGGATTCTCTCCTCTACCCAGTAGTAGTTATTCTCTTCAGAACAGCTGCTTGTACTTAAATAGCAATAAGGCGCCGAAGAGAAGGAGTAAACTGTGATCACAGAGGCCCATGAAATTCCACTAAATTAAAGATTTTTGTATTTTGCACTTTCCCAAATATATCTGGTTGTGTCTTCCATCATTTGTAAAACATACTGACAAAGTCAATGAGAACATTGGAAGAGAGAAAATGGAAAGATGTAGCTGTTGAAGTATATTCATAATGTATTGTAAACTTTGTACTTTCCCAAATATATCTTATTGTGCATTGAAACATTTCTATGTTCGTGACTCTGCTCAGACTTGCTAAGTACTTAAGTTTAGAAGAACACTAATGCTAAATCACATTTTATGTATTTATCAAGCTCGTCCATTGCACAACAATTAGTTCAAAGGTAATTTGGCTGGGACACACGTGGTTCAAGGTGGAGCAAGCTAATGATCATGAAGGTTACTGGTGACTCAAGTAAAATACTTGATTAAGTTAAGCATGTTGAAGAAAAACTAGAGCCTAGAGGTGGTTAAATTTCCTGGCTAGGTGGAGCATTGCTTAAGAACTCCTAATCGGAGGTGGAGTTCCAAAAAACCCATGTCACTCTTTCAAGTGCGAGGGTTGGAATACAACACATATGTTTTCCTCTAACTATACATGTTTAATTTCTGGCAAGAAAAAGCTTGCTTGACGTCTTCTTTTTTGACAAGAGTGGTAATGATGACCATTAGAGATGTATATTGACAAAACTGAAGCAATAATGTGGTGGTCAGTTGACCTTAAAGATGGATGGAATGGACAGTTGTCGTAAAAAAGTATTCATGGCAGCATCAAATTATAATAGTAAAAGAATCCACTCACATAATCATTCCGTATTTGAGCAAAAGTTGTTGTCCCAGTTGTGTGACTCGTCTTTAATATTTTTCGATTCTTGGTATTAGTTACATCACCGCTGGTTCACAACAAATAAACAACACCACAAAGGAAAATAATCATTTTATTGAACCATCAGTTTCGTATTGCAATAAGGTTTAATGAAGTATAGTAACTATACTTAGTGAAAAGGCTTTGACATATCACATAAACACACACTATAAAGGATGCAGTAAATAAGTCATGAGAATAAATGTCATAAAAGTGTGAATATTCTACATTGAGACATTACCTGTCATCAAACTCAAATTTTGTATCAAATCCACAAGAACAAAGCTTTTCAAAGACGTACAGAGGCCTTGAAAACCACTAAGAACTGGCCATTTGACCACTAATCATTCTAATACCAAACACACGTTAAAAAGAAACCCACTTACAGGATTATACAAAATGACACCCTCAAACATACAGAACAACATGTCTAAGGTCTAAAATTTTACAAACCTTATTTTCCATTTTATCCTAATGAGCTACCAAGGCTTGCCATTGTGTCTGGATTACCCTAGCATCATTGCAGTGTTTCCTCTGCTCAGAGTTCTCAAGGGGAACATAATATAACTTACGGAGTTTAGCCCTCCATGTCTTGAAACGATCATGTATTTTCGTTTCCATAATACCCCTGACCTTCTCCTCCTTGCCAGCAGCGGTTGGATTTGTCCTGTCTATAGTGGCCTACATAATCAACAATGTAGTCACAGAAAATTGCAAGCATCCAACAATTCAAATTCTACACAAATTTGCAGTATGTATTACATACCTGGACCAACGACCAAACTGGATCAAGTTTCGAAGAATCTAATCGGCGCCAATCAGGTGAATCAATTGGGATCAATCCACCATCACGAGCCAACATGGCTATGTAGCGGCCATATCAGGCCACATTGTCAGGAGGAGAAATAGCTTGACCGAATATGTTGAAGTTAAGTTTTTCGCGCCTCCCCCTACCCTATCGTATTCTCTTAACTCCCCTATTCTTCTTTCAAGTTGTGACTGACAAAGAAGTTGAGCCACAAGATTGCGTATTTCCATTACATGTCTAATGAGAGTGTGGTTGAGTTTCCACAAATGCCAAAAATGATTCATTTGGAGCAACTCCACCAAATGGGGAGTGTGGTCGAGTTTCCACAGATGCCAAAAATGCATCATCAGCAAGCATAAGATTAGCCATCTACATTGCAAATTGCAAAACTGTAATCAACAAGGACTATTCATTTACACCAATGAATACACAGTTAACACCAGACAACTATTCATTTACACTAATGCATATACAGTCAACAAGAATATACATTTACACCAATTATAAAAGTTCAGGAAAGTAATTGGCTAAAATTAAAGTTTAAGAAAAAATAAGCAATTTTATACAAGTTCATAATAAACTAGCAAATACCTCAATATAAAAACTTGAGAGATTATATAGATTTGATCAAACCACGTATACAACGCACTACGAATCGAAAAGTGGATGCGAAACAGAGATTTGATCTTTTGAGCTTACGTTTGCAAGTCCCACGACAACCCTCGAGACATGGACACGAGCAGAAAAATAATGCATAATTTCGTTATTTAATTTTCAGTTTTTCTGCAGTGACAACAATCTGCAAATACTTCCTGTAATTTTCATTTTTCAATGAAAAACAAAACGAAATTTCGTGTGATGCACTACAGAACAACCTGCGCCAAGATGCTAACGTACGCATCTTAACCTCTGCTCTGTCTAGTTAACAGTACCAGCCTACGAGGCCTGCCTCCAGCTCACTCACTCATTTTCCTATACTTTCACGGCAACCAAATAGAAGGTAATTAAGTAAGTACTTGCTTACAATAGGAATGCCTTTGAACTGGACGAATGCCTTTGAACTGTACTTAATCGGCAACCAAACCGGAGGAATGCCTTTAAACTGGACAGAGGAGCGACGTTGAAGTGGACAGACTCAACGGAGGAGCGGGTTCGAATTGGAAGGAGGAGCGGCGTTCAAATTTTTGGAAAGTGAGGGTGAGACGGCTGTGAGATAGAAATTGGGTTGAATTGTAATTATTATTATTATAAGAGGTAATGGGCACAATTATTATTATAACAATTATTTTTAAATTATTATTATAAGAGCAAGGAACAAAATGCCGATAATATCGGTGATATATCGCCGATATTATCGGTTTTTCGCCGGATCGATATTTTAATAGGTATCCAAAAGGTTTTTGTCAAAATATCGCGATATTATCGATATTATCGCGAAATTTCGAAACTGTGCAAGTCGGAGACGAACGCTGGAGCTTCTACAGCTCCGGCCGATTGTAAAACAGCCCCATAGACTCCGATCTAGGTATGAAAATGAAGCCCAAGGGAAGAGGAAGAGATCTATACCATTTTCAAGGGATGCCGTGGTCGGAGCTCGATGGAGTTTCACCTTGGAACCCACGGTCCACACCGGAAACTGGGTTTTGGTTTTCTCCAAACTTTTGCACCGGTTTCCATGGTGCTACCATCCTTGTCTGCACTAGCAGAGGGAGAAGAAGAACGAGGGAGATGAGGGAGTGCTGGTGTGTGTGTGTGTGAGTTCGGGGAAGAACCGAAGAAGGAATGAGAGTTGCAGAGAGAGGGAGAGCATGGGAAAGTGGAAAGAAAGAAAGGACTGAGAGAGAAGAGAGATGAGAGCCTCGGGGACAAAAATAAGGGGGTGGACCCCTTGGGATCACTAATTAAGATCCAAAAACAATAATTTTTTTTAAAAATAAAAAATAAAAACCTAGAAAGTAAAATTATAAACTAAAGGGAGGGGTTTTACATTAAGGCCTTATTCGAAGATGTGACTACCGATATTTCCAATATCATCGATATTTTATACCTTGTATAAGAGTTAGTGGGCACAATTGTGTAATGCTGTGGTTGGAACCAGGTTTTTGAATTTGGTGGTGGGAAACCAAAGTTGCACCATAAACTAGAGGGAAAAGTCCAATTTGGAAAAGAGGAAAATTAATATATATCCAATTTTATAAGCCATTATTAGTTATAGTCCAATTTTGTTTTAATTCAATTCATTCACATCTTTAATTTATTACATATAGCTTCGTCATCATTTTGGTGATAGCCAACACATCTCAACCTCTAGTAGTTTGATGGCTATCGGGGTTCGGGTGTGTCTTATGGTTGGTTTTATTTAACTTTCAGAAATGTTCGAGAGTTAAAATCTTCAAAACTTTTATTAACCAGCTCATCCACAAAACCAAAAGCTTAGCTTTGTTCAAAAGAAAAACACCAAACAAGTAGAAGCTCAAACATTTTGTAGAACAACCAACCTGTTTATACATTTTTCTTTCTCCCACCATAACTTACAAAGATTATTCTCACCATGCACGATTAAATTGAAAAGGGAGATGTCGGAGGAGACGAGAAAAGAATTGAGTCAGGGCGACTTAAACACAATAATACGCTTCGTAATAATGAATTTATTGGCAGTAGTGTGTACTATGGATTGTCCACTGCAATTTTAACAAACCTATCATAACAAAACTCGGCTCTACTTGCTCTTCAAGCATACATTCGGCTCTACTTGCTCTTTAGGCATACATTAAATAGGTTCCGAGATGATCCCAGAGTACATGTGTACAACAAGCATCTAATTTATCTTCTATCTGTTGAATCCAGGGTACTCTATCAATAAGTTGCTCAAAACTTGTAATTTAACCCAAGAAGCGTAAGCAGTTATGACGCCATTTTTATCTGTATTTGCCGATGGACATGCACCAGAAATTCAAGTAGAAGGGGCCATTCTGACTCTGGTGTTCAACCATATATGAGAAAAACAATGTTCCTGTGAGGAAAGATAATTTAGTACTTCATCAAAACCAAGTATTCAGATATCTGGTCGGGTTTTTTTCAAAAACAAGTTTAACCTTTGTTCTCTACATCTGATTTGTAAAGATTTACTTGAATACCAAGTATTCAGTTATATCCTAATGCAGGTACACTCACCTGACGAATGTCATTTCTTGCATAATTTTAAGCTGCACAAAGAAAAAGATGAATTAGGAATCATTTCTTTGGATGAAAACATCAAAAACTGAATTCAGTTGTTGCATTTTATTTCTTCCTTACGAACAAGGAACCACTAACGAAAAACAATCAGTCGTACCAAAGGATGGAATATATCCGGCGCCGTATTTCATTTACCACATCATCTCTACCTGCATCACAACTTGTTTTTGTTTGTAAATTAACTACCTACATCACAGATTTATTGCATTGCCTACCTGCATCACAGATTAGTTGCATTATCCACCTACACCTTAGCTCTGCTATAGTGGATATAAGTTCCTGATTAATACAAGTCTGATAATCGTTCCGTAATAACAATTTCTGCAACATCCGCTCTTGTTTGAACTATATCATCATCCTCTGACATGTTTTCTATATCTTGAGCTGTGTTGAAGTCTATATCTTGGGCTGTGTTGAGGTCTTCTATATCTGTATCGAGCATGTTGTAAACATCTCGTGGCTTTATCTTGGTAGCAACAAACCAATAAGTGTCAATAAGATCTTGAACATAAAATACTTGCGTTGCTTATGACCCCAGTATGAATGAGTCATCCGGCGGTAAACGATGTTCACAGTTAACTAAAGTGAATCCAAACTCATCCTTCTTAGTACGAAACATTTTGTTCTTCACATCAAACCAATCACAGTCAAACAGTACAACCTTCCGACCATTGTGATAATCTAACTCAATGATATTTGTCACTACCCCATAATAATCCACAGCTCCATACCTTGGATTCCTGTCGACGTAGTAACAAAACTACTAACTTCCGATGCTAAAAAAACACCACTATTTTGGGTTCGTGCATGTCGATCAGCAGAAGCAACCTTAAATCGATTTCCATTCATGATGTACGTTGTATAACAGTTTACCCACTGCATCGGTCCAGCAACCAATGCAAGTATAGCATCTTTAATAGCTACCTCATCATTCACCCTCAACTCTAACAACACTGTAACAACCGATTTCGGCAACACTTTTCGTATTGCAATAGGGAGGAAGACCTGCATCAACATATGATAATCATGGCTTTTCAAGCCAATTAACTTCTTTTCTTGAATATTAACACAGTTGCTGATATTAGAAGAGTAGTTGTCTGGCACCCGAATTGATTCCAAAACTTGGCACAACATTCTTTTCTCCCCAGGTTTCATATTGTATTCCGCCGTTGGAAGATTTGTACGGGCACCATCTGCCCGTGGGTGGAGATCATGCCTAATGCCCAACTCTACGAGATCAGCCATTGCCCTAATACCATCTTTAGTCTTCCCTTCAATTTCCAAAAGAGTGCCAATAACATTTTCAATTACATTTCTCTCTATGTGCATGACATCCAAGTTATGCCGTAGTAGGAGATCCTTCCAGTAAGGCAATTAAAAAAATATAGTCTTTTTTGTCCACTGACCAACAACGCGCTCATCATCATGCCACCCTCGCTTACGACCACTTGCCCTTGCACCCTTGCCAAATCTGAAGGTCAATCCCGTCACTTCCATTAAACAATCCATGGCACTTCTTGGTTTATGGGGGTTTCGAAATTCTTGAGATCCATTAAAAGTTTTTTTATGTCTCCAGTACCTGTGTGACATTGGGAGCCATCATCTATGTCCTATGAATGCAAACTTTTTCCCATGCTTAAGCCGTAAAGAATCGGTGTCATCACCGCAAGTCGGACAAGCTTTCTCACCACTAGTGCTCCACCCTGAGAGCATGGCATAAGCAGGAAAGTCATTGATAGTCCACAACAAGGCAGCACGCATGGTGAAGGTTTCTTGACGGTGCTATCATATGTTCGCAAACCTGTCATCCACAAATGCTGCAAGTCATCAATTAGCGGCTGCAAGAAAACATCAATTGCATTACCAGGACTTGTTTTCCCTGGAATTAGGAGGGACATCATGATATAAGGTTGTTTCATGCACATCCAAGGCGGAAGATTATAAACTACAACTAAAACAGGCCACGTGCTGTGGGGTTTGCCATGCATACCAAACAGATTGAATCCGTCGCTTGCAAGCCCAAGACAGACATTGCGACACTCCCTTGCAAAATCTGGATATGTATTATCCAAATGCTTCCAAGCCGAAGAATCAGCAGGGTGCCTCAAAACACCATCGTCAGTTCTAATCTCTAAATGCCATATCATTGACTCAACTGTGTAACGAGACATGTACAACCTTTGTAGTCTAGGACCTATGGGAAAGTAGCGTAAAACCTTTTTTGGTACCTTGGTACATTGGATCGTTCCTGAATTTCCCTTCATTTGCTTATATCTACTAGCGCCACTCTTTGCACAAACGATGGCATTTACATGCTCTTTCCATAATAGCATGCAATTATTTCGACACGCATCTATGTTATGGTAATCCAACCCCAAAGCCCGTATAATCTTCTTTGTATAGTACAAATTTGGAGGAAAAGTCTCACACATAGGAAATGCTCTCTTATTAGTGCCAGCACTGAACCAAATGCAGCATCACTCATTCCATATAACAATTTTGACTGATATAATTTCATCACAAAATCCAACCTTTTCTTCCTGCTACTTCAATATAATTCTCCATTTGCTTCTCGTAGAATGTTGTCGAATTGGTGCGCATCAGTTGTTTCATCACACGCAGAAGAAGATTCACCAACATGGTCTGACTCATCCATATGCACATGGTTACTGAAAACATCGTGAAGCATCGCTGCCATGAAATTTTCAGGGCTTCTTTCATTAAGAGCTTCGGTAGTTTGACTTGATATGTTATCAGAAGTATGCACTTGTTCGCCATGTTCAACCCAAGGTATATCTATGTAATGAGGATCCATACCCTCGACATACAGGCGTTGATCGACTTCAAATGGATCACGATAAAACATATTGCAACAACTCCGACAGGGGCACTTAATTTTGCCTTGAAACGCAGCAACATCTAAAGCATTGTTGATGAATGCACGCCTGCCAATCAAGTATTCATTGGTTGTCCTATTCAGATGCACCCATTCTTTATTCATCTTTAGCTACAAGCATGTATGAAATTATAAGTTAACGATTACACGTTAAGATTAGCGAACTGAGACAAATTAAGAAATATGTTCATAAACATCCAACCTAGTATCCCAAGAGTTCACAAACCAACTAAAACCATATGTGATTGAAGTGGCTTATTCACTAACGGTGTACAATACTCTGAATAGATTTTTGTTTCATTTCAATTAACTCCATTTCAAGTCTGCTACTGCAATCCCACAACTTATGTTGCCAGAGACTTATACTTGTCGTTTTATTCATACTACATATCAGACCTCAAACAAAATTTCACCAAACAACTTGAGTACCACCAAATCGTATAAACAAAATGGTTCAACCTTTCTCCCATGTTTTTCATGCAACCTTGTTGTTTTATTCATATTATATAAAAAGTATGGAAGAAATATAGTAGGAACGGCAACTCAAAACTCCATGTTCCTCTGTTACAATCTCAGATTTAGTACACAGTTCTGTCACAAAAAGAGCACATACTGGTGGGTAATATACTTGTATCATGCTGGCTCCATTACAGTTGAACTAATATGTTAAGGATGATAAGCTTGACATTCATGACTTACACTTATGCATTACACCACTCTTAACCTGCAACTTTGTTAGCTTCAAAACGGTTTGTATTGTGAACCTCCAATCAATAAACAGCCTATGGGAAGGGTCACAGGCCTAAACATTGTCCCTCATGTTACCTCAAGACCAAAAACCAGATTATACCACCAAACAATTTGAGTACCAGCATCTCTCCCATGTTTTTCGTTTACTTGTTGTTTTATTCATGCTATATATCAGACCACAAAGAAAAATGCACCAAACAAATTGAGTACTAGCAAATCGTAGAAACAAAACGGGTCAATCTCTCTAAAAACAATTTTTCGATTATCCAAGCCAGCCACCAAATAAGAACGGAAAAAAAAATTATATATATATATATATATATACAAAATTCAAATACCTGAAGAAACCCATAATAGATGCGCGATTTGGAGCAAAGCGAGGATAAATATAATTCTGTGTTTGTAGCTATGATTCCTTTGCCCATATGTGTAGGCTTGGATTTTCTTTTCCCCAGATGTGCAACTAAATTTACACAAACCCCAACTGAAAATGCTTGATTTACAGACACCCCAATTGATCAATTCTGAAAAGGATTGGGATTAGTACCTGAAATCGGAAAGAATCGAGGGAAGTGAGAGACGGGTACAGGTGGGAATTCATGAATTCTGAATTCGCATTGAAGGAAGGCTGAAAAGTGACTTATTTTGGAGGAAGAAAGTTTGTTCCGTGGAATGAAGCTACGGCGCCATGAAAGGAGGCTTGGATTAGCATGATAAAAGCCTTGCTTTGTTCTTTTATTGTTTTTATTTTGTCTTTTATTTTTCTTTTCTTTTTCTTTTCTTGCACTGGTAATGTGGCATAAGGCTTGCGTTGCAACGCTATGTATTCATTGAATTTTGTGCTATGAATTGGACAGGAAACATAATTATAAACCAAAAAATATACAATGCCACTACAAAAAAAAAAAAAAAACATTATTATATTGTAATACTACATAACTTGAGGACCCAAGAGGAGTACAACATAGCATAAGATTATTATATTTTCACACACCAGTGAAATATAACATAATACAAACTATATTAATTATCCTCGTCCTCGCTGCTTAAAATCTCAACGGTAATATTCTGCATATTTCGTGACCTCATATGTGGAAGAGACATGCCTCGAGGACAAATTTGTGCTTCATAAGTGCGTGGTTCTTCAATAACAACGACATAACTAGTAGACTGTTCAGTTGTCGTTTCAGCAAAAACCAAATTGATAGGGTATTGTTCTGTCCTACCTGGGTTTGCCCACACTGGCAAGACACGTCCTTGAGGTGCGCGTACACATCCGTTATTTGAGGGTAATGCGTAGCCAAGGCTACCATCAGCAACTGTAGTAAGAATGTACTGATTATCAATAGAACGAGGTATGCACCCGACATTAACAGGTTGTCGTGGACGTTGAGATGGAGGATTTGTTGTGGAATTTGCTGTTGTAATGTTGGAACCAATAGATGAATGTGATGCTGGAGATTCGGTTCCAATTCGAACTCCGCGACGTCGCCTGTCCGCCATTCTCGATGATGTAGAACTTGATCAAATTAAAAAAAAAAACACAACTCTATGAAACAACCTTATAATTTTCCATATACAAATTAGTAAGGGAGTGTGGACGATTTATACTATAATAAAGGCACAACTCCATAATTGTGCCAACATATTCTTTTGCTATGGAGTGATTTATTATTTATTAGAATTTACTAGACACAATTTTAACATTTGTGTCAAAAAAAGGAATTATTATTAAAATACTTTGTCCATTTGAAGACCCAATGAAAAGTAGAATGATTTATTATTTATTAATATTTAGTGGGCACAATTTCTATCATTAGTGTCCTAAAAAAGAATCTACAAATATTTGTCCATCTGAAGATCAACATGCTTTTGCAAAGAGACCGACCCTAAGGGCACAATTGTTGGTTTTGTGTCACTGCTTGAAGGATTTTTGTTGCAGTAAAAAAATTAAACACTTACTATAAAACCAAAAACCTTATCACCAAGCATAGAAAACAAACCTGCAGGGAGATACCAATCTAAAAAGTAGTCCAAAATGATACGAATCTAACAAACATTCATTGCAGCTGGAAATGATCCATTATAAATCTAAAACACACCATTCAATACTACGGTGGAGTGATATTCTTTTTTACATGTAAGTGAGAGATATGAGGTTCGGCTCTCGCAAAAAATGAATTTGAACAACATTAATTATTGCTAACTTGCACAATAATAAACAGCTCCATACCATTATTTACCACAAGTTTATACATTTTAATTATTGGTGTGCTAGAGGAGGTAAAGACAAATGAGAGAGACCTTTGACAAATAATTTTTATAGACACAAAATGTTGTTTGTGCCCATCTTCAGTAAAGAAGATGTCATTTGGGCACGGTTTCTGTGCCCATTACTGTTTTGTGTTTACTTTTTTTAACATTGGGCACAGTAGATGGTGCCCTCTATGGAATGAGAACTGTTTAAGGAGTTTGGTGGTCAAACTGACACAAATTCTCAATTGTGCCCTTTGTTTTGTACCCAAAGCTCATTTTTGTTGTAGTGACACTAGAAGAATCACTTGTCAACCAAATTAATCATATGTCAACCATGCCGATAATAGCATTTGACATAAATAATAATTTAATACCTTGATAAAAACTGATTACAGATGTCTCTTGATTATTGGTTACTATGTAAATCAATGCCACGTCTGGAAAAGTTACAATATTTGTTAGGAAGTGATTAGTTCGCTGGTTAATTAGCTACTTTGTGCTTTAAGTAAAGCTTGTACCGTTCAGACATTACAGACATTACCTTTTTATTGGCACATTAAATCTGAAACCCACATCAAGGTCTCAAACTTTTTTATTAACAAAAGCTTTCAAACATTTTCATAATCAACAACATGATCACTACCTGCTTTACGGGTCAAGGACATCAAGTAGGTTGAGACGTGCCACTGGAATACAAACTAGATCATGGGCTCGAGGAGTTGTCATTCCTGGCCGTTCATCCATTTCAAGAATAAGATCGTTACCGTTCATTTTCTTCTGCTGTGGTCCTATAACTTTCCAATCAAAGCATTGAACCATAGCACCAAGTAGGCTTGGCAGCATTTGCATGACCAAGTTCACACCAGGGCATATCCTCCTCCCAGACCCAAACGGAAGCAGCTCAAAATGTTGCCCCCTAACATCTAATGCACTCGTTCCATCTCTTCCTCCACTGAGTGGTGGTGACAAGAATCTTTCAGGTTGAAAGTCCAAAGGATTTTCCCAGTACTTCGGGTCCCTTCCAATGCCCCAAACATTCACAAATAGCATTGTGTTTTCTGGGATCACATATTTTCCAAATTTACATTTTTCTACACATTTTCTTGTGACCACAGACACTGGTGGGTGTAGCCTACATGCTTCTTTTATGACGGCTTGGATGTATGGAAGGTTTGGACCGTCGGATTCTACGAGTAGTCGTTTGTTCCCCACGGCTTGATCAATCTCCTCCCTTACTTTCTTGAGCACCTTTGGATGGTTGATGAGCTCTGCCAGCGCCCACTCCATTAAAATGGCGGTTGCATCTGTACCTGCAGTGAAGAAACCCTGAAAAAGAACAATCTGTTCATGGGAAAGACTAAATTTATTGAGATAAACAATTAAGGGAGTGCATCTCCACTTTGAAGGAAATATGACACAATAGGGAGCTATATATAACTTATATGCGTATACATAAGAAATGAGTTTCTAGATGTTCACCCCATAATATTTAAAATTTTGAAGAGCATATGAGAGTCCTAAAATATCTAATTCTTACACAATTTTTTAATGTAAATAACACCACTTCATGAAAAAGGATTAATTCAGGTGAGTCTCCTGCAATTTAATAACATTATGATAGTTCCACTACTGTGATTTATGAAAAGGTGATTTGAACTTAGATGCGTACAAGATATAACACACTTTCACAACCACTAGTATAGTTAATTTAGGTTGTGTAACCACACACATCAACAACTATTACAATGTTATATATGCATGCAAGACTGACGTTAACACAGCTCTTGAAAAACTAGAGTGCTGATCAAGAGTCCCTTTTATTCTCTCAATTCAATAAAACGCTCACAAGAGAGTGCTGATGGCACTCCCCTTTTGTCCTCTCAAATCAATAAAACCCTCACAAGAAAACCCTCACAAGAGTTCATGTCAAAAAGGACAGAGGAAAATCCGACCTAACGTGAGTTCGTGATACATGCATATGCAGTGGAGGAGTTACGATTTTCAGAGAAATCATGCATGCATCGCCGCATAGTCCTATATGTTTCGATTATTGGGTTGAACTCATGCCACGTCCAAAAATCATGCATACAAACCAAACCCTTGGTTATTTTTTATTTTTTATTTATTTTTGTCAAACGATACATTTTGTTAGATTAGAGATCAAATTTCACCGTCATGCAAAAACTCAACATCTTTCCACCACTATGGTAAAGAGGCACTTGCTGAAAAACCAAACACTTGTCTTCATTATCAAATTTTTTTATACAACGATTTGTTTACATTAATGAGGGAAAAAACTACGGGGTAAGTGGAGTTTAATCCTTAGCTAAGATCAACTTTTCATAAAAACCTGGTATAAGATAAAAATTTACATTAATCCCTTGACTGGATGTCGACCTCAGGATTAACATTAAAACTCATATTTCATTGGATTTAATGTCTTTCTGTGTATTTTAGTTCTTAAAATACCCCCACAATTAATATTTGATTTGAGTACATTTCCTCCTATAAAAGATAACTACATCTAAAAACAATTGAGCTATCAAATAAGAAATTCAGTTACATATCAAATAAGAAAACGAAATTATTGATTAGAATTCAAAAAGTTTCATATCACAATGAAACAAAACTCGAGAAATCAAATTTTAATGAATACATCATACCAAATAAGTAAACCATGTACCTAATATATCTATATAGATACATGGTACCTAATACATAGTACCTGCAAATTAAAAAGACATTCTTAGAATTTTAACATACCTCAACCATGGTACCTATGTTGGATTTGTGTACGTAAAATACAAGGTGAACATAAATATTGAAATCAATATCTATATATACAAATATTGAACTAATATATATCAACAATCCTACATCTCTAAACTAATAAATCATGAAAGATTCTAAACAACAAGGAATTAAAATATTTCGCATATTTCAACATAAAAAATGGAAATATAAAAAAGTATCAAAATTGCTATCATAAAATTCAAATATAAAATTTCTCACTTACAAGTAAAGTGAAAACCACTATCAAGTTTTCTTTCATGCATTTTCCAAAAATCATGCATATGTTACTAAACTAATTAATAAACACAGAAAAATTCAATTTGAGCCAAAAACAGTTTTTACGTACCATGATTAAAGCCTTGATGTGAACTCTGGTAAATTTGACACCCTCAATCTCACCACTCCCTTTTTCCAACAAATCAAGCAAAACATCAAGAAAATCCTTCAACACCATCTCCTCTTCAACATTGCCTCCTCCATTTTTCATGTTTTTCTTCCTCAGTTCTTCACGTTCTGAAATAACCTTCTCCATCAACGCGTCGTATCTCCTATGAGTGTTTTCAATTCTCTTCCCAAATCCCTGCAAATCCAACTTCTTGCAAAACCAAACAAAATCGGACAAATTAAACTCCCCAAAAATCCTTGTTACCTCTCTCGCCACAAGCCTAGCCTCCTCATCTCTGCCTTCCGCACTAGACCCCTTAGAATTCCCCAACATCATTTTTGCGATCACATTGTTGAAATTCCTTGGTAACTCCTCGGTGAGATTGATAGCTTCACCACTCTCAGCTTTCTTGGCCAAGAGCCTCAAAAGACTTAGGTACTCTTGGGTTCGAATCGAAGCAAAGTTGCTGACATTACGATTGCTTAGGAACTCATTAACGCTGAGCTTCTTGATCAATTTATAATAAGGCCCGTAGGGTGCAAATCCTGGGGTAGAGTAATTGTAGGTCAGGCGTTCGATGGCGATGGTTTGAGCACGGGATATGAAGGACAGCTCGTGGGTTTTGAGGAACTCTTTTGCAATCTCTGGCGAGGTAACCACAATGCATGGGACGGAGCCAAAACGGAGAGAGAATAAGGGGCCAAACTGCAGGGAGAGTTTGTAGAAAGATCGGTGGAGGAGAGGACCGAGGAGGTAGAAGTGGCCGATGATGGGTAGGGCTAAGGGGCTTGGAGGGAGTAGGGTTTCGGATTTGGAGACAAAGACTGGACGGAGAAGAAGAGGGATGGTCAAGAGAAAAGAGAAGAGGAAGAGGAGCTCGAGGACTGCCATGGTTAATTGTGAGAGGAAGAATAATGGTTGATAAGTTTTTGGAAACTCCAAAGGGTGGTCGTTGACTCCTATATGTGCATGTATACGTGATCTGTCCAAAAAGTATGTATGAATAAAAATTATTTAAAAGTTGCGGTTTCAAATAATATTAGGTAGACTAATTTTAAATCAAATTTATAAATTATATAATATATCATCAATAATCACGCCATATGATTTATAATAGATGATCTCTATATCATTATATATATATATATATATATTATAATATATATCAGGAGATTGAGCAAAAACCCAACTAGCTCTACTTTATTTTATTTTATTTTATTTTATATTTTGTTTTTAATTATCTTATCGTGGAAATTGCCATTTTAAATTAATCAATCGAGTGAAGAATTGATATATATAAGCACGCTCAGAGACACGTAGGGAACAGATACGAGAAGACTCACAAAATACCACGGATTTCCTGCAACTTACTTCCACTTCCATATCATTAGCAATTTCAACCTATTTATCGTCCTTCCCTTTATACATGCTCATTGCAGTGGCTACAATAATCGTAATAAAAAACTTTATTTTAATCCTTGGTAAAAATGACTTTTAGATTAAATCATGAGTAAGATCAAAATCTAATTTTAGTCCTTTGATACATTAATAATCTCATTTATTAATTATTTTTTAATTTTTTAATTTTTTCTTTTTTTTAATATATTAATTTTATTTCATTATAATTTTCATTTTCATTTCATTTATCTTAATATATTTTGTTGTAAACATTTAGATAAATTAATTTTTGTTATACAATATATTTCGGTGTACTTTGTCTTCTTCATTTATGTACATTAAATTCATTATAATACATTTTGGTACACATATTTTCGTACATACATTTTGATACAAACATTTAGGTACATTAATTCAATATAATACATTTCGGTACTAACATTTCGGTGCATACATTTCGGTACACACATTTAGATACATTAATTTAATATAATACATTTCAGTGCATATATTTTGGTACATACATTTCGGTACTAACATTTAAATACATTAGTTCGATATAATACATTTTAGTACTAAGTACATTAGTTGTGTCTTTCAAGTTTGAAGAATGTTAAATAAAATTAATAAATTAAAAAACTCTTTTTTGGTCAAAAAATAAATTAAAATTTGTATATTAATAAATTTAAATACTTAATGGGTGACATTAAATAAAATGCACATTAATTATTTTGAAGTAAGAACAGATCAAGGGATTATAATCAATAAGTAATCTAACACCAAGTTTATTTTAAATTTCAAACTTCTTACAGGATTAAAGTTAAAAACCCCTAATCGTAATCGGAATCCGAGTCCTTAGTCAATCCTAAGAACTGGAAGAATTCCCCACCAGGACCTTCTGGACGGCCAATACTTGGGGGCCTTCCTCAACTCCTCAACAAACGCCTTCATGACGAGTTCCTTGATCTGTCCAAAATTCATGGCCCGCTCTTTAGCCTGAAATTAGGTTTAAAGCCAGCCATCGTGATATCGTCACCAGAAATGGTTTCTAAAACCCTAAGGCAGCATGTAGCTGTTTTCTCCAGTCGTACCGTCACTGAGGCCATCCGTGTCATTACGTATGATACCGCGTCCATTGTATATGCTGCCATGGCTAGTCCACGCTGGAGAGTAATTAAAAAAAAGTGATAATTAGAATCCCCTGCAATTTTTTAACAACTTTTAGATCAAACATTTGTTTCTTTTTAAGATTTGATTAAGACGCTTTAACCAATAGCAACGTCAACATTTGTTGTTTATTTAAATTACATATTTTTTTAAGCTCAAATTCTAATTATATTAGAATCCCCTGCAATTTTTTAACAACTTTTAGATCAAACATTTGTTTCTTTTTAAGATTTGATTAAGACACTTTAACCAAGAGCCACGTCAACATTTGTTGTTTATTTAAATTACATATTTTTTTAAGCTAAAATTCTAATCATCGGTTTCCAAATATGTCCTTTTAAGAGTTTTTTATTTTTATTTTTATTTTTATGTGGCCTCTTTTTTAGGGGAATATTTTCTTCTTGCTGATAATGTTTGGAAATTAATCTTCACGTTTGAAATTTGTGATCTCCCATGTTTGAAATTCAAATGAAATTTTTCATTTTAGTTGGTGGTTGTTTTTACAAATTTATCTAGTTCCCGTTTGGCAACAAGAGAGGATCTTGTGTTTGCTTGGCTTCACATCGGTGTTATCGGAGCTTGATTTAAAGAGTGTAGTTCATATGAATATAATGCGCATGAATAATGTTCTTTTTGCAACAAGCTATATTTTGGAAGAGATTGGTTTCGAAATTTTTAATTGTGCTTGGCAACGATTAGATAGCAACCAAGCAACTCATCAGGTTGTGAAGAAAATGAACTGTGACTTTCTTTAATGGATTGGGGATCCTCCAGTATGGCTGGTATATTTTCTTGATACATATCATATAGCACAAGTGAAATTATATCTTATATTATTTTGAAAGACAATATGTTCCAGAATATGTGAGTTCTTCAAAGTCTGTGTTAGACACTCCCAATAATTGCGATGGCGAAGAACCAGCTCCAATTTGACCAAATTTTTAAAAGCAGGCAGATATGAAACCTGCAAGAAAGATTACTATTCACACAAAAAAACGTGTAAGAAGAATGCCAAATAATGTGTACAAGCTAGGGCACAGTTACCTTCAAAATTGGAACTTCAAGAGTGAGATATTTTAATTACAATAAAAAATATGTTTGTTACGGTAACCTTCAAAATTAAATATTACTTTACGTACCAAATGACTGGTACGTTCAAAATTAAATATTAGTTTACGTACCAAATGACTAGTACGTTCCAAACTCACATTGCACAAACAATATTTAGTACGTTTTTAATTACAATAACAAACACGTTTGTTACGGTAATTACATTACGTACCAAATGACTGGTACGTTCAAAATTAAATATTATTTTACGTACCAAATAACTGGTACATTCAAAATTAAATATTAGTTTATGTACCAAATGACTGGTACGTTCAAACTAATACTATTTTATGTACCAAATGACTGGTACGTTCCAAATTAATATTACTTTACGTAACAAATACGTGGTAGGTTCAAAATTAACATCACTTTATGTAACAAATGACATGTAGGTTCAAAATTAATATTATTTATGTACCAAATTAATGACTGGTATGTTTAAAATTAATATTACTTTATGTACCAAATGACTGGTACGTTCAAAATAATATTACTTTAAGTACAAAATAAGTGTTACGGACTAAATTATCATTACGTATCGAGCAAAAACACTGCTACATTACAAACTCGCTTTACATGCCGTACCAAATATATATACATACCAAAATGTACATTAAATGTACCAAAGCACAAGGCAAAGCGTACCTATATTATGCGCTCATGATTCAGCAATAGTTCAATTGCAGCTACAAATTAAGAGGGTTAGAAGAGGAGTGGAAGACCTTTTTTCTTCATAAGAAAAACAAAATCATGCACGAGGGACATAAGTTGTCATGGAGGTGGAAAGATTTTCTGGTAGGAAATAATTATGATTAATATATATTATGAAATTCAAATGCTTCTTATATGCAGGGAGGATATGTATTAAGCAGTATTTGTTTTGTTCAAACTCTGAGATATAAGTTAGGTAAGAATTTAGGAAACCTTTTTTTTTTTTTTTTTTGTTATCGTGAAGAATTTAGGATTCTAGGCATCAATGTTTTTCTTTGATAAAATCTATGGCAGGCTTTGTAATTTAAGTACTATAAAAAGGGCAAATAAAAACCATATGACACTAAAATTGTAGGAAAATGTTTAATCAAATTTCTAAATGAACAGATGTTTAGTCTAAAAAATTAAAAATGCAGGCGCCTATATCAAAACGTCCCTAAAAAAAATCCTAACGGAATAGCTCTTCTCTCAGAAGGCCTTTGAGGATTTTGAACCAATTCGCAAGCAACAGGTTTGTTTGTTAATTATTGTTGAGGGATGGGTTCAAAAAACCGAAAACCGAAAACCGAAAAAAAAAAATTGAACCGAAAAAGGAAAAACCGAATCGAACCAACACGAATTCCTTTACACTTTATGATGTATGCCCATAATTTTTATTTTTTATTTTTTTGGTGAAACTTCGTTGCCAAGTTTGAAACTAAGACTAAGGCTTTTTCAAGGAGCATACTTGATTCAGTTAGGGAATATATTCCATTGGTTATAATTGAAAGTTTTGGAAGGTTTTGGAACTTGGAAAAGCTTCTCTATTTGTTTGCTTTTTGAATGGATATGGTGATCATTGTTCTATGCAATTGAGGTAGTTGATAGATTAAGATTAGTTTATATGATCTTGTATATGTACAACTACCTTCCCACTTTCCCCATTTTCTTATTATTAGTCCACCAATGCAAGCCTCTTTCCTAAATTTCATATTAAAAAAATGATCAAGTTTTATAAAATTAAAAAAAAAAAAAAAAAACCAAACCGAAACCAAACCAAACCCAAAGAAAATCGAACCGAAGTTTTGGTTCGATATTAGTTTTGGCAAAAAATCTAACCAAATGAAACCTAACCCACCCCTAGTCTGTTGAGGATCGCATAATATTAATTAAATGTTCCAACTTATTATTTGGTATTTACAGGCACTAGAAAGATTACCTACTTTAATTATATTTTGTAAACCACATACTGTAGCAGTTGTTGGTTGGAATACTTCTTTAAATACTAAAGAAAGAATCCAACCATTAAACGACCCATTATGTAGTCTACATAATATGATCTAAAAACATGATTTATTTATAGCGTAATGCTACATTTACCATCTATTTGTACCATCTCTCTAATAAGTATGGCCCACCAACGCATGTGGTCTCATCTCTATTAGAGAGATGATACAAACAAAGATACAAAATAGATTGTAAGAAATTAGCATTTGTGTTTTGTACCATCTCTCTAATAAAGATGAAACCCACATATATATGTAACATTATTATATTTTCTGTTTCTTCTAATAGTGCTAATAAC